AAGAGTCACTCAAGAGGGCTGAAACCGTGCCTGGTCAGATGTGAGTGTGCAGTGGAAGAAGGGAACACAGGTCTTAGGACGCTAGTGGTCTTGGGGACAGCAGCTGGAAACATGAAGTGTCTTGGGGTAGCTACTGGTGGGATCCCTGTGTGTGTGTGTACAATGCACCAGTGAACTTGAAACTGGAGTCTCTCATGACCCAGGAGACATGGATCTAGAAAGACCCAAGGTTTGCACCAATGACTGGGTAAGGAGCTTGACATCCAGCCACAGTTATTACATGGACTTAATTTCCATACTGTTATTTGAGGAATCTATGAACATGCTGTGCTTATGAATCTAGGGAGTGAAGGTGTGTTTATGTTTCACTAGTAAACATCCAATCCTGATCATCTGGAAAGGCAGAAAAGGAGTGGACTGTGTTCATGTTTATGTAAGTGGTGGTTACGTATACGTGGGTGCTGGTTAAGGCATTGCTCTGTTTATGTCAATCTGGTTTGCTGTTCACATTAATTGTGTAAGTCTGTGTGTGTGTTTGTGTATCTGGCTCTTTGGAATGCAGCGTAAGTCTCTTGAACACACACATGGGAACAGCAGCAGCCACATCCATCAGGCTGGGATAGGACAAGCCTCCTGGGTGTGAGAGTCCACCTGATTCAGCTCTAGCAGACCTGAAAGGAGAAATCCCCCATGTTCAGAAGTCTACTGGATCTGGCTGCTCCGTAACAGAATGGGGAAGGAAACCCAAAGAAACTCTGCAGCAGAGATCACAGGGGTGGACAGAGAGGCAGCACTGGCTAGGCTGTGAAAGCAATAGGGAGGGCTGGCAGTTGGACTTGCACTGTATAGTAACTGGATTGCCTTATAACAAAAGTGCAGGAAGGATGCAAGCACAAAGCTTTATAAAAAAAAATTCTTTAGTGTTTGTTTTCTCCAGTAGGTACCATTAAAGCTTCTGGGCAGGACCCTTCCCTGCAGGTCTAAGAGTGGCTTAGCTCTCCTGGCAAGCTTTGCCTTGAAGAAGCATGCAATAACACAACCATGTGGATACTCTTGCCCTTTCCTTGACTGTGATGTGCAGTGGCTAGGGCTGAGTCAAGGAAGGTCATGCCCAGACAATCTCCCGCAAGAAGGAGAGAAGCCCAGCTGCCTATCACCAGAGCTCTCAGGGCATGAGAAAAATCACTTTCCCCTGCGAAGGCCAGCTCTAACTAGCCCCAGAAATCTAGAGCAAAGGGAAAAACATACTCAGGGTCCGAGGCTTAGGCAGATGGGGGCTTCTCTTCAGGGCAGCTCTCCTCTTTATCCGACAAATTCTCACTCTTGTTCTGAAGGTCAAAGCTCTGGAAAGGAGCAGGACAAGGAAATGCTGAGAAGCATGAGAGCAACAGCTACAGTCTGCTGTGGTCCTTTTGAATTCGGTCTAGGGCAGCATGGGCTCTTCAGAGGGTCACCACCTCACCCCTTCCAACCTAGACATGAGCAGCACACAAACCCGATGATGTCACCAGCATAAGGCAAATCTTTCCACACCTGCAAAGTTTCACCCTTTGCCACAGGCTCTGCTTTCCCTGAGGGAAAAAAGAGCAGAGCTGCTAATCACTTAGGAGTAATGCATTAAGTAGCGCCTTTCTTACCTCCAGTTCTCGCATGACCTCATCCATGAAATCTCCTGAATTCTGTTTGTAAGCAACTGCCAGTTTGATAGCATCATTGAAGAGCTGATGAGAAGGAGAATGCTTGTCACTCAAAGTAAGGGGCACTGCATTTCTGTAACATATGGAAACTGTCCCCACACCCAAAGAAAAAAAAAAAGCCAAACTCTGCAACTACCTATAGCTACCAGGACCTCACAAGCAGCCAAACAGATGGACTAGCCCATTTTCTGCTCTCTGTGCCTACAGCAGTCTCCATGTCCTTGGACTGTATAGGGCTCTCATGAATGCTGATCCAAATAGTTATGTTTTACCTTCACTACATTGGTGCCATCCGCCGCAGACACAAAGTAAAAGGGCAAACTGAACTTCCGGGCAAAGTTGAAGCTTTTCTGGGTCACCTTCATATCCGCTGGGGGGCAAAAAAAGGAGAAGTGATCAGTAAGACATCACTGTAGGCAGAATGCCAACATGCGCAGGAGTGGTGGAAACAGATGGAGACCAGAGCCCGATTTAGCTGTTAAGGCCTCCTCACTATAGTACAAGGCTAGGACAGTCCTCCCCAAAAGCTATAGGGTTTTAAAAGCAACAGTATCAGCAAACCGTTGACAAGAAGACACAAAAAGAGAAGAGTTCTTGTTGGTTTATCCATGGTGCTTGACTAAATTGTAGATGGATTCTGATGTGCTATAAATGAATAATGCTTTGCAGCTTAGAACATATCAGTTCACTTGCTGTGCAGCAACTATGAATGTTTTCCAGGCACATCCCTATGATTTTTGCTGTGTGTCCACGTGACTAGGACACCATTGCCAGTACTAGTCATGCCTCTCCCTCCAGTTTGGCCTTTTTAACCAGAACTCCCCACTGCCCTTATGCCATGTTACCTATATTCCTGTGAGTCAGGGGCACGCTCACAGTGTACAAATGACTCAACTGTTATATATTTTTACTTAACAGGCAGTTGGGTCCAGCTACCCCAACCTCAGTAGGCCAGAGGCTTTATTTCTGGTTTGGAACAAATCTACTGCATATTTACGGGATGTGCTGACACAGCAGTAACAGCTCAAAGTTTTGATAGATAGCCAGCCTGTATGCCAGCACAGGAGGATGACTCCAGATGATCTGCCTTTTTTCATAGAAGCAACAGACGAAGTAGTTCAGACTCCAAATGCTTGCCAGTGAGCACTGCCCAGGCAGCTGCTCCCCACCTCTTTGCAGAAAGCCAGATCAACTGTTCTGCAGACTGGGCCTGTGTTAAGAGCTGTGGGCTGATTACTTCCTAGTCTGGGTGGAATACAGTAAACGAAGGCAAGGCAGAGGATTCTCTTGGAGCAGTGTCCACTCACACATAGAACACTAAGAGCAGGATTCATCTACACAGAGGTTCTGTCTGCAATATGGCTGTCAACACCAAGTCCATTTGCCTCGGACTTCCTGCACAGTCCGTGCAATCAGTGGATTCAAGGCTGGCTTGACACATCCTATAGGAAAGGCTTTTATTAGGTAAGATCAATCATGCCCTAAACCACACCACTGAACCAAATGAACTTCTGTAGACTACAGTGGGAGCCCAGACACCTTATTCAGGTGCAGACACCTATTCATAGCTGCGATGATTTCTACCACAAATGTCAGCAAGGAAGCCCATGTGTGACACTGTACTTGATAGAGAATAGCAGGAGACTGTGGTCCTAAGGGTATGTGTTCTCTCATTGATGCTGAGCGGAATGCTGATGTGTTATGCGCTCTCACAGGATGCAGGAGACAGATCACAACCCAAATGATAGCAATAATGAATGCCTAGCTGGCATTCCTAAGAGGAGAGAATCATCCAATCATCTGCAGAGGAAGGTGAACAATTTTGCCAGCAGGTATATTTAGACACTTTAGCATAGAGGAGTCCCACGGAAACCTGCAGGCTGAATTAGCAAGACAAAGGCAGTTACCGACTGTATCAGGGGAAGCCACATAATAGATTATGCTCTTTTTCCAGCAACACATCCTGCAATTTTTGACTAGGTAGTGCTCCAATCAGCTTTTGGGTTCTTGCTGGATGAAATGGGCAGCGTGGTAAGGACAGAATTGGAAGGACATCACTTGAATAAGCTTTAAATGGATCAAATTTGTATTTTTAATTGCTAGTAAAACAAGGACAAGACCCTATAAGACAACATGCAAGGTCAGTAGAGGACCTAGCTATTCGTTTGGTAAAATACAGCCCTGAGGGACTAATACTCAAGAACTCATCTGGACCTAACAGATGAATGACATTCTTTCTCAGCCAGGTCAGAAGAGAATCACATCACAATCCTGAGAGGTTGAAAGAAGAAGACATACTCACCATCAATTTTGTTGGCCACCACAATGCAAGGAATCTCTGGGCGGAATTCTCTCAGCTCCTTGTACCAGCTGTTTAAGTTCTTGTAGGTGACTTTCCGCTGCACATCAAACACCTTCCGAAAAAGAACCAGCTATCATGGGGCCAACAGCAGGACAGCTCCTGATCAACCCACTGCACCAAACACAAGTACAGAATCCAGAATTTTCCCAGTAGGACATCAACAAAGGAAACTGGCCTTTGTTAGAAAAGATGAAAGAGAAAAGGAAGAATACCCAGCAAGCCTTGAAACATGCAGCCAGCCCGTTTCTTTGCACGATGCAGGAAACAGTCCCTCATTTTCCTTTACATTCTTATTTTGTACTATGACCAGCACTCTATCAGCCATGACAGTGAAAAAGCACTGGGAAAGATCTGTTCTGCTAAGTAGGGTCAGATGTGAGGCTTCTCTATTTTAAGAATTAAAATATCAATTAAGTTGACTGATGCTCACAAGCGATGAGAAATAGTGGAAAGTTAGAGCAACAGTACAAACCAAGAGACCTAAGTGGGTTAGGCATCAGGAAACAAGACTGATTTGAGTTAATAAATGGGAAGCGCAAAGTATAGGAAAATAGAAAGGGCAGAAGACTAGAGAAGAATGTCTTATGGAGTACCCCTGCAGAACATGTTGGAACAGTTCTGTACTACATAATCCAATAGTCACATCACAGCACAAGAAAGGAATGCCCTCTCCCTCACATCACCTCTGACAGGACTGCTTCTAAATAAGTACATTCAGTTGTACGTACCACCTTACTGGAAACACAATGACAAAAAGTAAGGAAATTTAGAAGACAGCAAAGCCAGGGAATATAGTAAGAGTGCTATCAGGAAAGACAGAAGAGAGCTAAACATACCCAACTACACTGGTTTTACCTGGTGAGAGAAGAAAGAAAAATATAGGAAAGTTTTTTAAACTGCTGGAAGAGATAAGAAATGTAAGGCAGAGTAATCATAAAAAGTAACATACAGGCCAAGTGTCAACTGGGACTGTTATTACTCAAAATTCTATCAGATCACAACTGAGACACTACCCTTACCATGATACAAGCATGAGCCTTATGGTAATAGGATGCATGCATGCTCTGGAACCTCTCCTGTCCAGCTGTGTCCCAGAAGTCTGTAAGACACAAAAAACAAGCTTAGAATGACACAACTTTCCAAGTTCTGTTTTTCTCACAACTTAAACCCAGGATGCCAAGCCCCGTCCATCTACTCAGGGTTGCAAGTTAGGTTTCACCTCACTAATCTGAAACATTACAGGGCTAAGAGATTATGCAAAACTAGGACCTTTTCTTAGCTAAGCTTAGCTATGTGTTGTGCTGACACTGAACATTGCTATAAACATATTAGCAAAAGAGAAGTCATCATTAGACATGACGTATAAAGGACAGTAAGAAAAAGCTAGTCAAAAGTGCAAAGAGTGATAACAATGTATGGTACTTTGTCACTAGAGATGACAACAGGAAACAAAATTTAAACATCTTGAAACAGCTTGATTTCTGACACAGTGATAAATAGCCAGGTGCCTGTCATAGGAAATGATCCATCTCCTTTTGCAGACAGTCTAACTCTGCTCTTTCCAGGAGCACGACTTATTCTAAAATTATGAAGGGTAAGCAAGTTAGCCTGAGACAGACAGGTCCCAATTCATTAAGTACCTTGTAGACTAGGTATCATGAAGCATACCTGAACAGTCATCAACATTTTAATGCCTTTTTCTGTTTGTGCGTCTCAGGTAGAGATCTCTCCCCCTCCTTTTACTGGATTTATAGGCTAATATTTGTGACTTATTTGTTGTATAAATTTACACAGCTTCAGCTAAGAACCACCAGATGTAGGTATACTTCTGTCAGCTAGACTGAAGCATGCCACTCCACCTAAAGCCAAATACGACACTTTCCTTAGTGTTTACTAGTTTCTGACTGGATACTGTATCAGACTTGCAGGACGGTGACTTCTTAAGCTGCCCAAAATATAGACAAGTACTCATCAGACCACATTTGCATTCATTTTAGGTAGTTATGCTTAGCTTCTAAAATTGCCTGTTCCTTTTAATGTGCCATTTCAGAATCCTCACTTACAAGGAAAAAAGAGGTGCAGTGACCACGACCTACTGAATGTCCCTAAATTAACTTCCCAAACAATGCGGCAGCTGTCATGAGAGAACTTGCCATGGCTTATTGAAAAACACTGCTGCTTTTATTACTAAATCCTCCAGATCTTGCCTGTCATACCCCATGTCACTCCAGAACACAGGAATTTATCAACCTTAAAATCCTTGGGAAAAATAAGTTTCATAAAGAAATACACCATACTTTAATGCAATCCTAACTCTACCACACGGAATTTGGCGATGGCCACTAAGAATAGCTCAGCAGAGTAAAAATTAAACTAGCTAGGGAAGTGGTAATTCTGCACAATTTAAAGTCTTCAGATCAAACTACCTGCCTTTACAAATCACACTTCATGACACGTCTTCTCTGCAAGGTAGCTTGGATGATCAGCATTTTGTTCATAAAAGGTGAAGACAGAAGACACTGTGAACTCTTGTATAACAGGCCAGATGAATTACTTAAACTAGAGCAAGTTATTTAATAAAGTACTAAATCCATGTTAAAAATAAGTCCCTGACATATGAATCCATACTTTTGCAAGTTGCCTTAATAGTAATTTCACTTACTGTTTAAAAAAAAAACCAAACACCTTATCTTTTATTTGAGTTTACCTAACATCAACTAGAGTCTGTTAAATATTTCTTGCTATGCTGAAGCCTCCTTTTGTACCAAGTTCCTGTTCTCTGATGTTTTACCTTCTCCCTGAGAAGTTAAGCAGACTGAGTATCTCATCATTAGGCCCCTTTTTACAATCTGTTACCTGGCCAGGGACATCAAGGGCAACAAGAAAAGATTCTATAGGTACATTGGGGATAAAAGGAAGACAAGGAAGAATGTGGGCCCTCTCCGTAACAGAACGGGAGACCTGGTTACCCGGGACACAGAGAAGGCAGAGGTACTCAATGACTTTTTTGCCTCAGTCTTCACCAGCAAGTGCTCAAGCCTCACCCGCAGAAGGCAAAGGCGGGGACTGGGAGAATGAAGAGCTGCCCACTGTGGAAGAACATCAGAACATCA